CACACACACAAACACACACACACGCACATGCGTGTGTGTGCGCGTGTGTGTGTGAGCATGTTGTCAAAGGGGAACAAAATGTGTCCCAGCGAATACAACAACACACACACACACACACACACACACACACACACACACACACACACACACACACGATGGCGCACCTGTTCCTGTGCGGTGCCCGTCTCATATGTGAGCATGTTGACCAGGTTGTCGACGTCCTTGAACTTACCTGTGCACCCGGCCCGCACGACGTTGTCGCTTGCAGCCATGCACTCAATGCAGTCCCCAGCCATGTACGCGTGGGGTAGGTTTGGCCCGAGGAAGATGGCCTGTCCAGGTTGAAGCTGCACAATGTTCAGCATGAACAGGCAGAAGCAGCCAACATCGCCTGCGCACACGTGTGTGTGTGTGTGTGTGTGTGTGTGTGTGTGTGTGTGTGTGTGTGTGTGTGTGTGTGTGATGGTGCGTGTGTGTGTGTGTGTGATTGCGCGTTAGAACGGGTTGTACAGACACGCAGACACGCACACGCACACACATGCAAGCGTTTACGTGAGTGCGTGTTCGTGCGAATGTGTCGTGCTATATGTTGTGTGCGTACCCGGGAATTGAGAGTGCACACGCAGCACAAAGTTGTCCACAAGCTGCTTGTCAGCCTTGGCCTCGAGCCGCGCCTGCACACGTCGATTGACAAGCACCATGCACACGAAAGCATGAATGATGGAGCGAGAGCACGTGAGACAACACATCTGAGCTCGCGGCAGAGATATGGAGGCAGACATCACAACAACGCAACACAAAACACAACACACGGACCCACACAACACTGCAACACAAACACACATGCACAAATAACGCAACACCCTCGCCCCACCTGAAGCTCCGCAGCTTTGGCCTCGACCATCTTGGGGTCCGCGTGCATCAGTGCAGAGAAGCACTTCTTGAGCGCATCGTGTTGCTGGCGGTGTGTGTGCGTGTATGTGTATGTACATGTGTGCGTGTATTTGTGTGCGTGTATGTGTATGTGTGCATGCGAGAGAGAGAGAGTGTGTGTGTGTGTGTGTTAGTGAGATTGAGTACGTGCGAGAAGCCGAAATGTAATGGCGATGTGAACATGGCACAGTCGAACGTGTTCACAACCTTTCATGTAAACGCACACCACATCACACACACACACACACACACACCCTGCAAACCCTGCAAACCCTGCAAACCCTACACTCACACTCACACGCACACACACACACACGCACGCACACACAACACACACACACCCTACAAACCCTTCGCTCACACGCACACACGCGCTGACACAAGCACCCATACCCCCACCTCCGGCTGCGGTTTTCCGACGGCAGCGTGCAGACAGGCAGCGGCGGCGTCGCCAACAAGCGCATGGAACTCCGGATACGACGACAGGAACGCGGCCACCTCCGCCAGGGGGCGGAACCCGCACATGCCCTGGGGAGTGTGACAGTGAGGGGACAGGTGCGGGCACAGGTGATGGGCGACAGAATGTGAGTATGTGAACACACACACACACACACACAACACACAACACACACACCTCAAAGGGCGTGAGTGCGATTGCCATTTCCGGTTTGTGGTTGTCGTCCAGGTAATGTTCGGGATCTTGCTGCCGCAGCTTCTCAGCGAGCGCCTTGTCCGGGTGTGCCTGCACCATTGCACAACCGAGGAGGGCGGGGGGGGGTTGAGCTCATTGACAAGGTCACACCACAGGCAGTTGAAAGTCTGATGCCATGCTAGGAAAAATATGAGTCCGGACCACTAACTGGAGCAAGTGATGGGACAGCAGAAACATAGTGCGGGGCAGCTGGTGGTGGTTGCAGCCGAACCTGAATGGAGAGTGTTTTGTTGACAGAGAGGACCTTGAATAGATATGGAAGCTGGCCTTCTGCACTCTTTGCAGAGCCCCTATCAAAGACGCAGGCGAACGCATGAAACGACAAAGAGGGCAAATGGGGACGAAATAAAGGAGAGAGAGAGAGAGAGATAGTGTGTGAGTGAGTGTGAGCGTGTGTGTGTGAATGAGTGTGTGTATGTGAGTGAGTGAGTGCGTGTGTGAGTGAGTAAGCCAGCCAGCCAGCCAGCCAGTCAGCCAGGTACATGCATGCACATGGGCGTAGAGGATACGCCATTAGTCACACAGACACACACACACACACACATGAGGTCCGGGTTGGCTTGCAGGAGGGTACGAAGGTCCTGCACTTCTCCTCCAGGCAGCACGACCTGTGACGGCGCCTTGCTGTGGGTTCCCATCCACAACTGTGTGTGTGTGTGTGTGTGTGTGTGTGTGTGTGTGTGTGTGTGTGTGTGTGTGTGTGTGTGTGTGTGTGTGTACAACAGGTAAGGAGGCAAGGCGCAAGCACCGTGAGCTTGCGACAAACACGACGCCAGCAAGCGTCGCACAAATAGGCATCCAAGAACACCCAACAACACAAGCACCACATATGCACACACACACACACTCACGCTCATGCTTATACACAACACTCACACACATACACACACTCACACTCACACGCACACACAACAGGGTCACCACCTTCCACGTTGCGTCTGGCATTCGACAGACCATTCCGCGCCACTGCCAACATAACAGCAAAGGCAAAAACACACAACCAGTGACACTGGCATGTGAGCAATACACCACAGCTTTCATCGAAAAAGCTCCCAGCGGACAAGGCATGACCACCACCG